ACAAATTGATTTTAAATATTCAATAATAGAAAAAAATCGGTGAGTTTGTCTAATATACATAAAATATACTCATATGTCTTGATAAGTACATTTATATATTTTTATATATACATATTATTGAATTAATTATTAGTTATTTGATATTTCTATACTTTATTAAATTGGTTAAAGTTTAAAACTGTTTGGTATTAAAATACACTTATTTTTAATATCTATAGTTCATAAGCCCATAGGTTAGACAGCTCATTTGCCCATGGTCCCTAATCCCTATAGGTAACTATATTAAGCCGATCCGGTATGCTACACTGCATAGGTACCTTCCAAACCAGTCACCTCAAGTTTTCCTCGTCATAAAAGGTCACTTTAATGGATGTCTTAAATTCTTAAACTTTGAAGTCAATGATAAATATTCGTAGCTAAAAGTAGGTTCGTTGTATAAATGACTTCTAACTATTTTTAAATGTCATTGTATATAGACTTATAGTATATCTACAGGAAATAGTATTAAACAATGACAAAAATGTTCAAGTCCCTACGGATAATTTTCATTTTTGAATTACAATAATATAACAGAATTTGTTATTTTTCAGGAACTTTGAATTACATTTGTAAGSATAACATTTTTTACATAGAAAAACTATTTTTTAAATACCTTTAAATAGTTAAATATTTAATTTTTTCTAAATTATTTTTAACTCTAAAGAAAATGATAACTTATTTAATAGTGGAATATTTCAATTTACAGTAAATATTTATTTTTTTATATACCTAACAGAATTCGTTCAAGTATAAATTGTTATTAATGGTTTAAATATCCAATATCGATATATCGTCAAAATTTGAATTTCAAAGTACTTCTTACATTCAGTAACAAAAACAACAGTTGATCAGTTTTTCTAATACAAAAAGTATTTTAAAACAAAATATCACATTAATAAAACCAACATGTTTCATTAATTGTATTATACTKAATAATACATAACTAATATAAAATAAAATAATATTTATGTATAAATAGGTAGGTATCTTAATAACTTACAGACTTACAGTGCTGGATAAAAATAAAAGATTACTAAAAATAAATACTAAATAGGACATAGGTTTAATAATTGATATTAAAATAAAGAAATAGTGTCTTACTTAAGCATGAATAATTGTCCTCGGAACGTATTGGACAATAAAATACGTGAAAATCACGAATGAAATCTATCTGTTCTGAACAGTCGAACTTCCACCTCAAAGCCATGTATGTGTTGCCGACCTCACTGATCCAAAAGCTTTTTACTTTGCTTGTTTCTAAACACGTATAAATAGAAAACACATTATAATACTTTAACGAATATGAAAAAATTTTAAAATAATGATCGTTTTTAATAAATTACTGTTACTCGTTATATGCAATGTTGCACACGTCTCCCACACCATTCCACTACTGACTGATTTAAAAATATAAGCTCCATTTCCACTGGAACTGGTTTTTTGTAAAGTCTCACTGTTGGCACTTATCGCAAATTGATAATCTTTCCAAATATCTTTTACGGTAATAATATAGCTATTCTCTGTACTTGGAATATGTATCCAGTCCATATAGCCCTTAAAAAATTATTTCAAAATGGAATCAGTAAAATATTATAAAAGAATTTAAGTCTAAAAGCATATTTTTTTCTGATGATAATATGTTTTAATTTACGTACATTACACTGGTTTGGATGGACCATGTCATTTTCACACCAATACAGTGTGTAATAGTTCAGTTGATTTGGAGTAAATAGTTTCTGTTTATCATCAATTTTCCATGACAACTCATAAATACCTTGATCGTTATACGTTTTAACTTTTGTCAGCGATAACGATGCAGAATCATTATGTTCTATGGGTAACAATCATCATATTAATATTACATATATATATATTAATAGAACTTCAAATATAATAGTTAAGTACAACGTTAAAAAAAAAAGTGGCGTGTTTAAAGTTAGTGTTCAAATAATTTTTTCTACAAATGTGAATTTAAATGATTGTCTATGATACCAAATACTATTAGATAATATTAGGTAGGTAATTAATTTTTTGAAATCATATTCAAGTCTTTTTTTTAAAATAAATTAAATTTTTTCATTGTCACTTTTCAGTTGTCAATTATGTATTTGTGTAACTTGTACGAAGTTAGTTTTAAATTAAAAACAATAATTATTAATATGATAAAATGTTGATAAATATTGTTTTCCTCTACTTTGACTATCAAATTGGTAATTGTAATTATGTATAATAAAATTGCTATATAAAGTGATATCTTAATGCATGTAATTGATTACCTATGCATTTGTAATTGCATTATAAGAGTTTAGTAGAAAATAAATACACTACAATAAGGATCTTATATTTTGATGTATATATATACCTACCTAGTACCTAGCCAATTTAAATACGTAATAAATTAATGTGAGTGTGGGGACAAAACACAAAATTCAATTTTGCATACTGCAGTTTTAAAATCACAGATTTAGCTCCTCTACTTAATTTTTCACATCCCAATCACTGATTAAGTATATTATAGATTATACAAATAGAATAATATATCATATCATATATACATATATACAATAAATACTTACTGCCTGGTGWACTCGGYAWRTAWAYA